TACACTATTAGAGTGTATATGTAGGTACGTTGAGGGATTATTWAAATATCATCGTAGCCCAGCCGAAGTCACTAGGAAAGTCGAGAATCCGTGATGAATAAGACAAAATTAAWACCGGAATAAAATATAATAYAATAAATTCGTGACAGTGTTTTGTATAACATATCAGCACGGAGACATAATATTATATTATCAAATATTGTTTTTGTTTTTGTTGTTGTTAACGGATGAAACTCAGACGGCGAAAATTTAAATTGTATTTCATATTATATTATTTGCGCATTATTTTTGCGCTTATTATTATTATTATTATTACTATTATTATTATTGTTATTATTATTATTATTATTATCATTATCGTCCTAAACATTATTATCGGACCGACAAGGTGAYGGCGGCGCACGCGTGTGGGTGAAACGGAAGAAGACTGATCGTGTGATATACGAATGGAAAATGTCGTGTGCATATTGTAACGAGAGAAAAAACGCGTTACAAATTATTATTATTWTTTTTTTTTTAGTTAGGCTAATAGATATTTATCTATTTTTATGCCGAGGTACCTTCGCAACAAAGCACTACATTGTACCAGACTACCATCCGTGTACGGTCTACATAATATATATCGAGTCTGACGTTTTTTTAATAATAATATGAGGTACCTAATGATTTATTTTTCTAACAATGTTTATCGCGATGTATATCGTAATTTTATAAATTGGATTTTATGACCAGTTACCAGGGCTTTCAATTGAAATTATTTTTTTACCACCGTGCCAAAAAGTAATAAATGATTTATCGTTGTTATATTATTCTACAAGAGATTCATAGAGTACGAATATAAATGTAGTACATTGTCTTGCTGTTTGTTAAATTGTTGTAAATTTTTTAAATATATTATTGAATTTGAATAATATATTGTAAGAAGTTTTTGAATAATTATTCAATACAAATTAATAGACACTTGAGCTGATTCAGYGAAATCCACAAATAAAAATACAAGTTTTCTATTACCTATTTTACATAAATTAAGTAAGGTATATATTAATATTTTGAAACTATAATCATCAGTATCAACGTACCATAAATGAGCGTGCAGTGCCTTCATCGGCAGGTYAATATAAATTCGAACCCCCAAAATATATGGTTTAAACCATCCCCTTAAAAAATATATCAAAAGAAGCATCTTCCAACTTGTCAATAAGTTATTCAATCTAATCCTTAAGTTTTTCAAGTAATAATGGATTCAAGGGGACATAATTGCTCTTTTTTGGATTTTCTGCGCTTTTAAACTTGATTCTTGGTGCTTTGTATGATAACTCAAAAATATAATTGAAAACWGTGAATTTCAGACACGTAACTTTTGTATGGTTTGGCAGAAATTTAAATTRCAAAACTCGGACACTTTGTGTTATATTGTATACTTGTAATTATATAAATATCTGAAGTCATAAAAAATTATGTTGAAAATTTAATAAAATTTATTGAGTTTCAAACGTTATTTCTTGTTTGGTGTCTCATATTCCAAATTGAAAGGACGATTTCAGTTATAAGTTATATCATAGGTTATAACTTAGTTTTAAAATTTTAAAATCATAAAAATGTATTTGCGGTTTAATGGACTCGAATAATACAAATAAATAATAATACTCAGACAAGGAACGGAGGTTTTTTTTTTATGTATTAAGGTAAACACATTTTTTAACAATTTATTGGAACAACGTTTTCACGTTTCAATCTGACTATGAATGTCGCTTAATAACTGTATTATTGTATTGGAAAAAAAAACGTAGAGCATTGTTTCACCTATACCTGGGTCAATACGACGAGCAACGAGAAGTAATTAGGTACAACGACGAAAGATACCTTCCTAAGACCACGATTAATGGAATCCCTCAAATGTTTCGCCAATGGTCCATGATATATTTGAAGATCGATACTAGGCTAAAATGTTTAATATACACCAAGAAACATTTAGCACGGAGCTTTCGTGTTTCTAACGAATATAGAATTATGTACCTATCTACATCATTTTATTTTAATATGATTAAAAAATAATAAACCACATTTTGTCTTGAAACATGTGTGCTCAATAATAATTATTTTTGTTATTGAGAAATATTAATTAAATTTGATAATATGAAAGTGTTCAGAGTTGTACAACGGTATTGAGTCATAATTAATTATATTGTATATTCATGTTCGTATATCTACAAAAGCGTACGATCAATTTTATAATATTATAACTTATGATTTTAAAGTAAATATCATCATCATTTTGAAAGTATTTTTTTATAATATTATTATAGAATGATTACATTTGGAAAGTAAATACTGAATAGTATAAAGTATATCACCATAGGTTTGAAAATTTTATCTCAATATTTACGTATGAAGTTTTTTTTGGTCAAAAAATATCAAAATCTTTTTTTTTATCTTTCTAGAGACTCAAAATTATAATTATTAATATTTAGTATACACTAATGATAATGAATCAACGGTGCCTCGTCTTTAACCAACCGTTAAATACGCATTTTTGTTTTTATTGTTGATGACTGATGAATAGTAGAAAATATATTTTAATGTAGGTACATATAAYAACAATTATTTATAATATATTAGTTATATAATTAATTTACTTTTTTATTATTTTATTTCAATCTCAATAGGTATACGGCATTGARTTAAAGAATCCAGATTTTTTAATTAAATAATATTACGGGGCTTTTATCGGGAAATTATTAAGCCTTAACCCGGGTGGGTAACTAATAAGTAATAACTTTATTGTTTGTACCATTTATTTAAACGTCTTTATAAAWACCGATAGATCTCACATCACGAMTTCCGAATTTGTTGAACAATATAAYAAAGCCGAGAAAACAAACAAATGATATATCGCTCATATTTTAAGTTTTYGTTTAACGTGCCTTTATGCATTTCARATCACCGTCAGTTCCCATTCATTTTTTTCCGTCACGAAACTAAATACGCAGTGGTTGGAAAAAAAATGTATACTTGCAAACAAGAATCCGTAGAAAACCACACAACCTCGGCCGGTTTATGGCCCAATGATCAGCTTTAACTCAAAAACCTCATTAGGTACAGTAAAATTACCTGACCTGAATATTCGAATAAAAACCAATTGCTAACGTCGTGACTCCATAGTCTCATCGGACATATTATATAGGTCAGTCGTATATAAGGAAAATCTCGGAATTATAATATGAACTTAATACTGAGAATATATCACTATTCTACGAAGGTTAACGATATAATATATTATATACTATTAGTACATTAATTCAATAAAAATATAATATATATTTATTATTAGAAAAAACAGAAAAAACRGATATTCAAGGCTTTTAGAGCTGGTGGTGGATTGCGATACTTTTGCGAAAAGCCGTTTTGTTTTGGATGATTTTATTAATAAAATAATATTGCATTAAAATGAAAAAATATATATCTAATATAATTACATTAAGTCATTAAAATTGATTCTATTTTTATAGAAGTACAGCCTGTATGTATAAGCCGTGTTGGTATAACTTCATAATCTTGTGACCTCCGTGTAATTACTCGTTATCCGCATTAAAATTATTTATATTTTTAACTAAATGTTTTTATTTTTTTTACGTAGGCCACTGCGTATTCGAGTGATGGAATTTATAAATTTTGGGTAGTTACTTGTTGGGTAGATTAAAAACTCGATGGCTTGTAAACCTCAAAACATATTACTAGTAAATAATGCACTAATAACAAATGCATTTATTATCGTCCTTTTTAAATCCAAAGGCTTGAAAATCGAACTTATAAACAATTTTAATGCAATAATATTAGTTATTATTGATCTACCATACTATTACACCTAAGGCTTTCTATGAATATAAGTAATCAAAATAAAATATGAGCGTCGTTAAAAGCAATTTATTAGAACAAATCTTKTAATATATTAATATTAAACAACAAATACTTATTTATATTATTTCATTTAATTCAACAATATTTAATACTATTTATTTTATTCTTATAAAATATATTAAAATTATTTTTAATGACTTTTTTTAATTTTTGAATGATAAAATTAAAAGAAAACATATTTATTTCGAAATCAAATAATTTGTTAAACATTTTGAACAAATCAAACAAATAATAAATCTATTTTCTACTTGTTATAAATGGTTTTCATTGTACATGATATCATTATCATCGATTCACCGAGTAATCGTGTTATATTAATAATAATTTAATTGGAATAGAGACGTGAGTAAAATATCGATTCCTCTATGTACTGGGCGTCTAGGTGATTGAATATTTGTGTTGGTATATTATTAATATTCACCTAGTTAAGTGGAAATTTATTTTATTAACCTAGGCATATATGATTATTATAATGCGCATGTATTTATCTTATAAATTATTATTATGATAAGTTATGCGTTTTTAATTCATCCGTGTGTTACAACAATTATGCAGGTGTTGTTACGATACAATAATATCAGGAAATAATATCACGTATAATTGCAGATACACTGAGTTTAATTTTAAACTAATCTAACCGGCCGTCTATACGCGTGTAGGTACGTGAGACTATAATTTGTTATTTAATTAGGCGGGTTATTATATATTTCATGTTTAGTTATGAATTATAATAGTTCGATTACGCGATCGTTTGTTCAGTAGAAAACTATATTGTTGATCTTGATTTTCGTCACGGGTCAGTGCCGATTTTGAAACTATCCCTCGTTAAAAACATATAAATTACGATTTATTTTACGTAACACGCCGTAGTCTGTTACAGTTTGTATCCACCGACGTTACTAATTATTTTTTGAAAATAAAATAGTATGTGTTCCTCGCGTTCATTTCACGCCTTTAAAAATACGCTATCTTAGCAATTATTTCTAGCAATTATATTTTAATTCCGGAACTTCTATGTTCGATAAAATCAATTTGTAACATTTCTCGAATAACAGAATAATATTAACTCGTTTGTACGTTACCTTTCCTCTGGGCCAATTGCATCGTCTCTCCGGGCTGCTTAAGCACGCCATTTCCTCAGGTTCCGTGTTATAACTCCAATCAATTGATGAACCCAAAAAATTCAAAAACATTGACGGGACTTGTGTGCCGGTGGGCTCATCGCCACCTGATTCAATTAACAGAACTTTCCATTGTGGTACCTGAATAAGTTATGGAAAAACTATTAAAATAAAAAATATAAAATTGTCGTTTTTGAAAGAAAGTCTGAAAACGGTACCAATCGGAKTTTGATTAACGTATTGTAAAACAATYAATATTTTYCACACTAAAACTTGGTATTTTTTTTTAAGTCTACCATGAGCCAAACTTTAGTAATGAACTAAAGGTTGAAATTAAATTTCAAAATTTTACTTAGGATATAACAGTTTGACGTTTCACCAATTTTATTTTTTTTTTGAAAAACAAATAAAATTGAACATGCTTTCTTCATACGATTTCGTATTAATGTTAAGTTATAATTTAAGAGATGGGATACCCTATGACTTTTCAAACGCTTGATTTTACGAAATTCGAATAGTTCGATCAAAATCACGTCCGCAATGTGCGAGTGCGACAAAAGATTTTTTACTATTTTAATAAACTTACAATTTTTATCAATTTATGCGCAATTGGTTAAKACTAATTTAKGTATTATTTATTTGAAAATTTTAAAGTTTAAACTTAGCTGAAAATTCTTGGTCTTACCAAAGATAAGTTATCAGATAAGTTTTTCCTTCTCATAAAATTTGTTTTTAAATCATAAATATTATTTAAAATTTAATTTACTTATTGTGCTATGTACGAATTGAAAAAAAAAGTTTGGAAAACTTGGTAAATTTGATTAAGATTCGAGTTTCAGATAATTGAAGTTTTAACAAGTTTGCAGGGATAAATTAAGTTCAATCCGTTGTCTTTGGATATGATAGTAAAAATGCATTATATAAAATAGATTTAATGATAACCTCGCTGAGTCTGCTGGCCATCACACTACCCGCCGATCCACCGCCCACAACGATGAAGTCGTATTCCTTGTCCGGCAACGCCCTGTTCGATGGCCGGCCACATGGGTCTTCGATATCGCATTGCGACCTGATGAACACCTCCAATAGGCCCATAAACAACATGAACGCCGACCCACCACACGTGCTGGCCAACGTCGGTCCCGGCTGGGTCACCGGACAGTTGCAACTGCTGCTCATTCTGGATGCGTTTCGTAGGCTGATGCAGTCGTTATATTATAATATCGTATTTATTGCTGAAAAACGAAAACGAAAAGTCAGCCACGGGTTAGGTTAGGTTAATAATTAGATCATATTTAGGTAGGTTTAATATAATATCCACCGCAGTTAATTTAAAATAKTTGTCTCGAAAATTTACTTAAGAAATAACAAACGAAAARTCCTGTGTAACGCATATTTCCATATTTTAAAGTGCATAATAAATATTTTTCGTACATTTTACCAAAATCTATAGTTGTTAATAAATTCGTTATTCAGTTATAAATATAATATAAATAAATTATGGTACCTATGTAGATTTTTTATTACTATTGTCTTAAAATAAAATATTAGGATAGCAATCGTAAGGATTAGGACGAAAAAATACGAGGCACTGACATGTTTTTAATGGTGTCTACCATCACTAACAAAATATAGAYAGTGATAGTAAACAGATAGACCGGGTATAGTTTATAATACGATAGTATAATATTTAAATAAGTAATAACACTTAAAAACAAGCGGATTTCACACGGACGACTAARCAACTTTTAGCAGATCTTTGGTTTTTATAACGTCGCTGGTCAAATATCACCGTCATAAAAAACTGGTTACGGAATTTGGTTTTTCCTTTTGGAGTTCGTCGGCGAAAAACCCAATAATAATGTTATGTAGGAACGATTGTAGTCATTTGGTTGTTTACTGCACATAGAGTAATTTATAGTAATTTTATTACTCTATGGGTGCAGTACTGTATAGATAATATTTATAATATACGAGATGAAACACGACGGATACGATCACCACAAGACGTTTATCAATTTTTTTTTTTCATTTTCATATCCACGAACAAATCTTATTTATTTATCGTCGCGTGTTGCGTCTTTATTACGTGGATACCGAGACCACAGTGTATACACAACGCGTATTGCCCGTACTACGTAATTACAATTTTTTTTTCATTTTCAAATTAATAGTTTCGAATATCTCGTACGTGATGTTCGTTGGGCACGATAAACGTACGATGTCTTATAATAATAATAATAATATACGTATCATTATTTATTATTGTTAATATTATCTTCTACRTTTTCCGGTCCGGTCAAGGTTATGAACAGAATTCGCGAGCGCTAATAATACAATATTATGACTCAATCGGTGAAACCCTTCTAATAAATAATTACTGATTTCCATCGAGTCGCAAACTCGCGAGAAATCGTTGGTGAACGAACCGCGAGCTCGACGAAAAACCAYGTGAATACGTACTCATGATCATAATATATTAATATATAATATCATTGCATGTTGTGTGGTTGTGTCGTACTTGCTACATTATCTATCTCACATGGCGTATATTATAATGATATTATCACGCGTATTACGGACGAAGTCTGAAGAGGTGAACAAACTTTACACRAAATTTCAAAAATGTATTAATAATTATTTTATTAAAATCCTAATTTTAGGAACTTTTAATTATTAGGTACAAACTTAGACTACAATATTCRAATTCTTAGATTTCTTTAACAAGGAGTGCCCTAATACTAATCAAATAGGACGCAAATAWTTTGGACAAATATTAATTATCTTTTCCAACGAAAACCGTTTAATGTAAATTGTTTACCACGTGTTTTTTATATGCAAATGCTAATGCATTTAAATAAAAATTCAAATACAAAGTTTATAAATAGTTAAACTATTAGGTAAGTATAGATTTATATTTTTTTTTTTTTATTGATCATATATAAACCCGGCAGCTGTGGCCATTAGTTACAATTTAATTTGGAATAAAGGTATTTACAATTTTTWAAARRRKTTTTTTTTGGTAATACAAAAAATGTAGAGATATGTGCGGTTACATTGTATATCCTATTGATTTACATATTATTATTAGATTAGATTTAATTTTTTTTAGATAATATTTTGGTGCGTTTGGTGTAACTTAAATTCTTTTTTTTACGAGAAGATAATCACCATTATGATTTTTTAAGTTCAATGTAACAACACGCTGAAATGTACATAACATACAGACATATACAGTGGCGTCGATCACCTAATTTATCTATGACCTTATGTCAGTAGATTTTTCGATGAGCGTGCCCATCTCAAGGTACCAAGGGATCCAGAATTTGTGTAGAAATTTGAAATTGAAATATGATTAAACATTGTATCATATAGGTGATTTGAATCACATATGATTGCTAAATTAAAAAATGGGAGATGATGGGAGGCTCCTTGATATACCAAGTCATAGTGTAGTTTAAAGTTTAAACACTTCAGTGCCACTGGCACATACAGTTCGGAACGATCAGGTTCATTATGTCGCTCAATCAATAAATGGCATATGTTATTGTTACTAATTTACAATAATAATTTAAGACGGATTTTGGTTCCATTAGTGCTGAAGCGATGTCCGTGCTAGTGCACGGAATTTGAATAATTACCTAGTCGGTTTTATTATCTAAATTTGTTACTACCAACTTCGAAATTTGTTATACAATTCCACCTTTTTTCATGACAAAAATTCGTGCACTTTCTTCACGCGTGGACTTTATAAGTAGACTTTGTGCTCCTTCTTATCTCCAACAATAATCACCTAGTGCGATTATCATTTAATATTTATATCGTAAGCACTTTCCCCTGAAAGGCGTTTAGGCATATGTAAACGCGTTTTAGACGACGATAAAATTTAATAATATTACTATGCCTACATAATACTATGTGAACAATGCGTATATAATCATAATATTTCTACTAACTGTATGATAGGAAATCGCATTAATATTATTATTATTTACGTATTCAACTCTCGCAGCCGCCGTTTCCGGAGCGAAACACAAACCTCAGCCGTTCTGGTCTGCAAAACCTTTTCGCTTGACTATAACCGTATATTATCATTATTATTATTGTATAACGATATTTCACGAACGACAGATATGTATATGTTATATCGTCTGCCGAGGTATCTATACGTGAGTCCGCACCGTCTACGGTGAACAGATTGTTCATATTGTTCAGTAAGCGCGTCAGCGCCTACACTCTAAATGCCATAATAACGCAATGTGCTTAATGTAATTCCCGGTACGTAGTATAGAATCGACCTATAAAAATCTAAACCAAATAATACGTGACTGTAATGTTAAATCGTCCATTTGCGACACAATCACCACGTACCGAGCAATTGAATCCCTGTTATAGTTTTATGGAACTATTTGATAGATAATCAAAATCAGAACTGATAATAAACTCGTCAATGATTTTGATTTTGTGCATGCGATCACATAATAATATAATATTAGATTTGAGATTTTCGCAACCAAATTACAAATACAGATTATTAGTGAAGCTGTCTGTCTGTCCTACGCATTACCTGGTTTTGTGAGTACATATTATTATTGGAACAGATTTAAGGTCAAACTTTATAGAGCTACTTAGAGCTTTTATATATCGATTTATTCTGTGGTAAGTGGATGTTGTTCAAATCTGATTGATTCTGTGCAGACACTCCAAAACAAGCTCTATACTTCCAAGCTAAAAATAATATTATATTGGGTACATATTTTATGCCTTGTAATGCATTTTTCACTTTGATAAATTATACGCTCTATTATAACCACAGCCTACTATAGTTGAGAGCTCCAACCTGTTCGTTCTCAATAGTTATCAAACGCAAAGATTCTGTTTGCACCCGTAAACTCTATAAATTGTAGGTAATGGTCGTCCCTGTATAGTATCATCTTCACGTTGATGTTTCAACCATGAGACGTAAACAACGACACTGCTAAGTGACTATCAGAATTTATATGGTTACAACCCTGTCGTTCATCTATAACCCTACAAAACAATATATTATGCATGCACATTGCCCACCTAAACTTTGAAATATTTGGCAAGTACAAAAACCGTATTCCTGTTTACGGGTGATTGTTAGAAAAAAAATAATTAATGTAAAAGCATACATCTATAATATTTGTAACATATGTGTACGACACGTCCCTTCGATACATTAAGTCATCGTTTAACACGAGATTTGCAGCGTTTAATGTGTATTACGATTTCAAAAGTTGATACAATTCTGATCGTCACGATTCCAAATATTTGCATTAATAAATCGTAAGATTAAGATACATATATTATATTATACAAGTGTATATAATAATATAATTATACGCTAAATTTTTTTAAATCTAAAATATTCCGTTGATAACACAACTGTAGAATAATGATTAACGGTCACGAACTGTTCGCACGTTTTTTTTTTATTACGATCGACACGCGATTTTGATTATTATATTTATTTATTCATTCTTTAATTAGACGGATTAATACCATCGAACTAGACGAAACTCGGCCATAGGTATCTATATGATAATATTTTATATTTATATTTATATACATACATATTCATTCACGACGGACGCGTTTATGAATTTAATTCGTCGGCCTATATTATAATTTCGGTGATTACGAGTCAACTACGGTACACTCATTTGCGTTACGCGTATTCAGGAGCTTTGTACAAGAATAACATACAAAAACTTAATTTCAAACAACGTAAAATAAGTAGGTCTCAGACGATGAACACGAGTAATAATCGGATCGTCTCCCCGGATCGTCGACCACGGTTAGGTAAGGTGATCTCAACGCCCCGAACTGCGCAACACTATCGCATTCGATTAGTCGTCGTCGTCTTCGTATCAATATAATATTGTGTACGAATATTTTTCCTTGATTTAATAAACTTCATTGAGTCCTCTCTAAGGTAGCTGAGATTTTTGTCATTTATATAGAGTAATTATTTTATTGGTCTTTTATATTCATTTTCTCGAAATGTATAGGCATTAAAGTTTTTGGAGATGTATTGTTTTTAATCGTTAGAAAACAACATTTTGGATAAAAGTTTCTTATATTTTATAGTCTTAATTACGTATGCATGTCTTTTGTGTTTTTATTTTTTAAATATAAAAAAAAAAGTAAAAGTCGCTTTGTTAGGTTAGCTTTTGGATCTGCTAAATAAAAACATTGATAATTTTTCGAGATAATGAGTGTTTACCAACAACAGGTAATCTGCCTATGGCACAAAATATAGACCGTCTGGTTTACACGACCTCAACGATGACCGGTGAATTATGTCATCGTTATTTAATTTTATTACTTCGTCGCTGAAATCGAAAACCGATTTCATAAATAGCATGCAATATTAATGGGGATGTACCAGTCCTGTGGCTGTGTATGTTTTAGTTTATAATATGATAATTTTATATACGTGATGGACGCGTGCGGACACGAACGCGGCGCTTCGTGAGCGTCTTCTTATAACTTCCCGGCGCATCGCGACTTCGTGGGAAATTGTTCCACTCCATTGTTCGGCGAAATGCGTTTTATGACGATGATGACGATGATTATGATGATAATAATGATGATGACGACAATGACGACGGCGACGAAGACGAACATGGTCTCATCTGGTGACTTCTTAAACGAAGGCCTCGTACAAAAAAATTGCGACTCGTGT